ACTCCCAGCCGACACCGTCTGTTCGCGACCTTGACCTCACCATTTTCTATGTAAATATTCGTTCTGTGAACGCACACAGCGGGGAATTATCAGCTCGTTTTTCTCTTTTCGCTTCTCTGCCTCACATCGTTTGTCTCACTGAATCTTGGCTGAATGATGCCAATCCTCACCCGCCTTTGTGTGGATACACAGCCTTGGCGCGGAAAGACAGTCAGCAGCAAGCGGGTGGTGTCATCATTTTTGTTCTCGACTCCCTCGTCTCATCCTGTTCTTTGTCATTAGAATCGAATGCGGCAGAATTAGCGCGGATGTTAGTACATTGCAGTTCTGGTCCGTTGTTATTCGGCTGTTTTTACCGCCATCCCCGGTACGGAGAGACAGCATCATTTGACACTTTGCGAGAAGATTTGGATTCTTTGCGATTTAATGCTGTCAGCACTGTGATTGTAGGTGATTTTGACGCTCATCATGCGCATTGGTTGCGGCACAGCCACTCGGTGACACCAGAGTGTACACATTTGAAGCAAATTGTTTATGACGAAGGTTTAAAACAGTGCGTTCGTTCTCCCACTCGGGGCATTTATTTACTTGATATTGTACTTTCGGATGCACGCGATTGTTTAACAATAGAAGTTCTGAGCGAAATCGCTGGTCATCGTGCTCTGTCTATCCGTTTCTCTGCTCCTCCTCTCCCTATGGAAATTCTCAGCAGAGATGTTTGGTTGTATGGTAGTGCTAATTGGCGCGGTTTGAAACAATTGATCACAGGGCACTGTTGGGATTGGATATCTTCTGGAAGCCCGGATGATATTGTGCAGCAATTTAGTGACCTATTAATGAATTTTGTTCGTAGGTGTATACCGTCTGCCTCTCTTTCTTTCCGCCCTTCTCACCCTTGGTTCACGGATGAATGTATCAGAGCCGCGCAAGCGAAGACAGCCGTGGCTGGGACTGACCTTTTCCCGGCAGAGTGTTTAAAGACGAGTAGAATTTTAATGGAAGCGTATAGCGCTCACATTACCCGCGCGCGAGAGAAGCTTTCCCAGGAAAGAAGGGGGAGCAAAAGGTGGTGGAGCTTGTCTGAACAGATTTTAAGTAAGAAGAGCAAATCAGGTAGCTCGCCATTGAAGTATCAGAACGGTAGTTGGGCAGTGTCTAATTCTGATAAGGCGAACATGTTTGCAGAGTCGTTCGGTAGCAAGTGGTGTTTACCAGACGCTGAAAATAATGAATTTTCAGATCTGTCCTTGATTATGGCTCCCCCTGACTCCCCCTCCCTCCTCCGTGTCCGGGTCCGTGCCGCGCCCCAGTTTTTTAAGTGCGCTCAGGGCGGACAGCGGCATGGGGCCGGATCTTCTCCCAACGCGGGTTTTGCAAGCCTGCGCTCGGGAACTCGCTGTGCCTGTTGCCCTGATCGCCCGCTTCAATCCTTCAGCAGGGGCGATGGCGTGAAATTTGGCGTCAACATTGTATTTTTCCTTTATTTAAGCGTGGTGCTGTTACAGACCCAAACCACTATAGAGGGCTCCGGTTGACTTCCCAGTTTTCTAAGTTGGTAGAACGGCTTTTTGGCGACTCGTTCATACCGCGCTTGGAACGTGTAGGGGCGTTCGGCCCGTTCCAATTCGCATACCGGCAGGAGCATGGCGCTAGAGATGCTATTTTATAGTTCACATTGTGTTGGCTTCTTGCGCTGTCTGCAGGCATGACTGTTGCTTTGTATTGTTCTGATGTTTCAGGGGCATTTGACCACGTTGCTTCTGATATCTGACTACAGAAACTACGTGCCTTCAGTGTGCCGGATTGCATTGTGGCCTTGCTCCAGAGCTGGCTACGGCCACGCGTGGGCCGGGTGTTGGCTGGGGGGCAGCAGTCCAGCCCAATTGCAATGCGCGATATGGCGTACCAGGGCACGGTTTGGGGCCCATCGTTCTGGAATTGTCATTACGCAGACACTTGCATGGCGACAGAATCTTTGAACTTCGAGGAAGTCGTTTTTGCTGACGACCTCAACGCCTGGAAGGCGCTTCCCGCGGCCACCCCCCCGGAGGAGGCATGCGCGCAGCTCCGCGAGCGCCAGTCCTCCCTACACGTCTGGGGCCGCGCCAACCGCGTCAATTTCGACGCCAGCAAGGAACATTTTCATCTATTGTCGCGTACTCGCCCTGCTGGCGATGCTTTTAAGATCCTAGGTGTAGTGTTCGATCCAAAATTCGTGATGGTGCGGTTGAAAGCTGCGTAGCAGCGGCGTCGTGGAGAATTCTGAGTATAGTACGCACGCGCCGCTTCTACAACGATGCGGAACTTGTGAACTTGTTCAAATCCCACGTTCTGTCATTTATTGAATACCGGACCAGTGCAATCTATCACGCTTCAGCTTCAGTTCTCGCTCTTCTTGACGCGCTCCAGACGCGGTTTTTGCGCTCTCTGGGCATTTCCAAACAAGATGCCTTAGTGCATTTTAATATTGTTCCGCTTGCCACACGCCGGGGCATCAGTATCTTAGGGGTCGTTCGTCGCACTATCTTAGGTCTTGGGCCAGCTTGCTTTTCTAGTTTCTTTCGCCTCGACTCGTCTCCGCCCCCTCCTCGGGCACCCCTGCGCCACGCGCGACATGTGGTAGAGCCGCCATTCACCAGTCCAGATTTCCTGTTGCATTCCGCGATTGGCACCACGCGGGTTTACAATTTGTTCCCGCATTACATTATCCGTGCTCGTGCTGTGCCGCCGTTTCAAAGACGCCTGCAACAACTCGTTCTGGACCGTGCCAGGGCGTGCGAGGATTGGGAGTCGTCTGTGTCGCCTCGCCTTCCGCTTGCGTCCCACCCGCTGAGGAACCACAGGGAATGTCGGCCAAGGTCTTGAGTTTGCTACTTGGCAGACGTCTTCTGCTTCCTCGCCCTCTCTCCCCCCTCTCCTCGTCTCCCCTTCCTTTCCCCCCCCCCTCCCCCTCCTCTCCCCCCCCCCCTCTCCCCCCTTCCCTCCCCCCTTCCCTTCCTTCTCTCGCCCTGTCTGCTGCTGCTGTCTCCCGCCGTCGGCCTTTGTGTGTTGTCCTGCTTGCTGCTGTCGTCCGTCGTCCCCGCCCCTTCCCGCCTTCTCCCCCCCCCCGGTCCTGCGCGCTGCGTGGTACGCGGCAAGGGCGTTTTCAAGCGCTGCGCGTCCGGCGCCTCCCGCCCCTTCTCGTCCTCCTCGCCCTCCTCCGTTGTTGTGTTCTGCTGCTCCTTTCTCCCTCCCCCCTTCCTCCCCCCCCTCCCTGCCCCTCCCCCCTCCTCCCCTTTCTCCTTTCCTCTCCTTGCTTCTTGCTATGCGTTTGGCAATGATTTTAAGGCCGGGAGCGAAATTTAAGTTTTTACAGGCGTTTCATGAGCAAATCCATCGTTTCGGTTTTGCTTGTATCCGCGCCCGGCATTTCTTGCTGCGCAAGTGTTTAGTCATGCGGTGAGGCCGCGTCATCTGCTGCGCCGAGGTCGGAAAAATGTGCTCAAGTGTCGGTTATCATCTTCTGCGCGTCGTGTTTGCAATGAGTCTGTTTGTTGCGTTGCGCGCTTGCATTGCGAAGTCCTGGCTGCGCCGTACAGAAACGTCAACGCCTTCTTGAATATACCTTGTTCATGTTGACGATTTGTTTTCGTGTTTCCCGCGTCATGCGTATTATTTACGTTGTGTGCGGGTGTTGCGTTCGTTGTGCTTCAGTTTTTTTTGTCATGCCGTCCAGAAACGCATGGGTGCGTTCGGTTTGCGTGAATATTTTGAGGTCGATGGTGTTCAGAAGAGTGTCGCGGTTCAGTGGCATGGGTTGACTTACTTTACAGTTTAAAAACGATCAGAAAGTGCAGCAGTGACGTTTAATATTATTGTGCAGTGGCGTATTTGTTAATGTGTTGAGTGTTGATGTGTTATGCTGTTCTGTCGGTTGTCATTATTTGGCGTTGTATTTGCCATTTTTGTGTCTGTTGCTTTGACGTTTGCATTCCGAGGTCCTGGTTGGGCCGTACAGAAGCATAAAATGTCCACTTTGTTTTTTTCCGTTCTCATGCTGGTGAGTTGTTTTGGTGTTTGCCGCGTCTTGCGTGTTATGCGCATTCTCTGCGCGTGTTCCGTCGGGCGTTTGTTTGGTTCCTCAGGTTTTGGTCATGCCGTCCAGGAGCGCATATGTTTAGGCTAGTTTGCCCAAGTATTTTGGGTACAGCGTTTTCCTGAAGAGTCTCGTGTTTCAGTGGCGTGGGCGGATTTCGTGAAACATGTTTCTTAACATTTAAAAACAAAACATGTTAAAGTGGATATGCATATGGGTTGCTGATTCTATTGTACAGTGACATGTTTGGAATTTGTTTGGTGTGTTTTCTGAGGTTCTTTGTTTTGTGAGGTTTCAGTTGTGTTATATTGAAACGTTAATGCCGACTTATGTTTGGTTTTTGCGTTGATCATTGGTTTGGATGTTTGCCGCGTTTGGTGCGTCATGTGTTTTGTTTGTTTGTCTTGTGTTGGGCGTTTTGAGTTGTAGCGTCTGGATCATGCCGCCCCGGAAATATGCTCAATTTAGTTCGCGTTGGTAGTTTGAAAACGGTGGTTCCCTGAACTTGTGTTAGTCGGGTTTTGAGTAAATTTTCCAATGAATTTACTTGGAACACGACATTTTTTATCGTACTCCTCCAGTCAGAAAATTGCGCATACACCGCAGAAAACTATGTTTGAAACCGCTATCCCCATCTTATGAATTAGTCGTCATCCCGCATTTGTTCGTTTTTCTCGCCCTCGCCCTCCGCACTCGCATGCCTCGTGTTGCGCCGTCCCCCCATTCCATGGGGACTGCATGTCCGATCCTGCCATGTTTTTGCTCTCTCTCTCTCTCTCTCTCTCTTGCGCCGCTGCGATTCGAGTGAACGTGACCATTGCCCACCGCGGCCAGGGGGCGACGTCGAGTACGCTAGCGTTAGCCCGGGGAGAAAGGTTGATAACCAAAACACAGGACGCCCCGCATGGCACGAAACGCCCTGCAGGCTTTCAAGGAGATGGACCTGGACGGCGACGGTGTCATCACGCCCGAGGAGCTCGCCCAGTACAGGCGGACGGCGCGATGCGGGCAAAGTTGGGCCGGCAGGGTTTTGGAGGAGGACGGGGGAAGACAACGATGGGGACCTCTGTAGCGGAAGAGGTGGTTGTCGGCGGTGAGCCAGGGAGGGAAGTGAGCAGGTTTCTCAGAAGGCGGCGTGTTTTCACAGAAGTCTTCTCGCTTTCTGAGAAGTTGTTTGGTTTTCGGGGAAGGCTTAGACAACTTTTCAGAAGGCCGGGGGAATTCCGAACCTTCTGAGAAGGCCTTCTCCTTCTCACATTCCCCCTGGCTCGCCGCCGAAGTTGGCACAAGTGGCGGTTCGGACCGCCAAGGTCACTTGCGGGTGCGTTGAAATAACAGTTCTTTCCAGCAGGGGTCAGGGTCTTTTTGATGTTACAGGGGGCACTCGCAGGCGCGAAGATAGTTGCTCCCCACACGGCGCGAAGCGCGAATTCATCCGACGTCGACTGCTCAGCATGACGAGTTCTGTGGGTCGGCGAAGGTTGGACGCTGATGAAGGCACATCACGGTATTCGCAGGCATATCGTGCCGCTCGCAGTTTTGTTTGCGGTGATTGCGTGAATCCAGCTGCCCGCGGCAAGTCCCGCCACCGGGCCAGCGTTCGGGGTGGCGACTGTTCGAGTGGACGCGGGAAACCGTCACGCTTGGGAGAGCCGTGACGACAATTATGATCTTGTTGTTGGGATTGATGTTGATGATGTTGGTGTTGATGTTAAGCATGAGTGTGACGATGATGAGGGTGATGATTCCGAGAAGGATAAGGATGAATATGATGAGGATGCGGATGAGGATGATGTTGAGGATGATAATGTTGGTGTTGATGATGCTGATGATGATGATGATCATGCTGATTCGGAGAAACGTGAGACTCGTGTAAGCCAGAATTCGGGTTTGTCGACTTGTTTGACGAGCGCTTCCTGGATGTCTACGGTGCAGTTTTCGTGGGATGTCCGCAGCGGGAGCTCGCGTCAAATTTCAGATTGGGTCTCGTCATGTTTACAATGGCCGCGTCAGGCCAACCCGAGTCCCCCTTACCCGAGTTTTACGCCTCCCCGAATGATGGTGGTAGTGGTGCTCATGATGATGACGCGGCTGATGATGATGATGATGATGATGATGATGATGATGGTGATGGTGATGGTGATGATGATGATGATGGTGATGGTGATGGTGATGGTGATGGTGATGGTGATGGTGATGGTGATGGTGAGTGGTGGTGATGATGACGAGGATAATATGAGGATGAGGATGCTTAGGATGATGATGATGATGATGATGAGGAGGAGGAGGAGGAGGAGGAGGATGCTGAGGCTGAGGCTGAGGCTGATGCTGCTGCTGGTGATGATGATGATGATGATGGTCATGATGATGATGGTGGTGGTGGTGATGATGATGATGATGATGATGATGATGATGATGATGATGAAAATGGGGAGGAGGAGGAGGAGGTGGAGGAGGAGGAGGAGAAGGAGGAGGAGGAGGAGGAAGAGGGCGACGAGGAGGTGGGGGAGGAGGAGGAGGAGAAGAAAGGTGAGGAGGAGGGAGAGGAAGGCCGGCACACATGACCTGTTTCGCCTGCATTATGTGAGGAGTTTATATGGAATTCGTTCAGGCCGTCTTGTAGCTGCCGCGGCCTCCGTCTTGGGGCCCTCTTGGCAGCTCGGTGGGTGCCTGGAGGGGGCCGTCGTGGGGCCGTCTTGGCACCGCCTTGGGCAGTTTAAGGGCCTTCTGGGGCCGTCTTGGGTCCCACGGGAGGCCCTCGTGGGCCATCTTGAGGCCGTCTTGGGGCCGTCTTGGATGCCTCTTGGGCCCTCGTGGGGTGCTCTTGGGCCATCTGTGGACCCTCGTGGGGGCCTCTTGGGCCGTCTTAGGGCATTCGTTGAGTCTTCTTGGGCGTTCTTGAGCTGACGGAAGCCCGAAAAGGCGAGAATACGAAGCTGATTCAAACACCAGTGGTGTTGGGAAGTTCTCTTGGGGACCTCTTGGGCCTTCTTGGAGGCATAGCGGGTCGTCTTGAGGCCATATTCGGCCGCTCTCGAGCCATCCGGGCCCATTTTCGAGGCATCTTGGGCCGACTTGATTGCTTTGCTTGCCCGGGCAATCTTGGAGTCCTGGGACGCGGGCACACCGTTTTCTGCAACGGACCGTGGCCTCGCGAGCGCAGATTTGTAAGTGTTGTTTTTACGGGGGAGCGTGGCCTCGGGGGCAGGGTGGTCCATGCATCTGTCTGCGACCAGAGGGGGGTCCTTGATGAGAATACAAGGGCCCTGCAGAGCAGCACCTGGTATTCTCACACGCCAACATCGTGCAGGCACGATGGCGGATATATCGCGGGGCTCGCATGTACATTGGTGCTCACGTGCACGCCATGGGATATGCAGGCATGTTTGTTCATTCGTAGGCAGGCGTGTGGCTCACAGGCATCTTGCCTTGATCTTACACGCCATATGGTGTTCACAAGCACGATGTGGCGCTTGCAGGCTGCATGGGCGTTTGCGTGCGCATCATGATGGTTATCACTGGTATGCTGCGGTGTTGCTCGTAATCATACTGTTGTTGCGCTCGCAGGCTATTGCTCTATGGTGGTGCGTGTGTGTGTGTGTGTGTGTGTGTGTGCAAGGTCTGGTTCACAGGCATATCGTTGCGCTTACATGTTACCGTGGCGCGCGCAGGTGCATGCTTGTGCTTGCAGGTTTACTGATGTGCTCGCAGGTTATTGTGGTATGGAGAGGGCCGGGCGCATCGCTGTTCACGTTTAAAGTGCTGTTGTGACTTTCGTAGGGCTTGGAGCTAGTACTCGCAGGTCGTGATGCTCGCGGGCTGTTGTGGTACTGGCAGTGTCTAGCATCGAGCATTCACTGGCGCTCACAGGCTATGTATTGTGGACCTGGCAGGGCCTGGTTTCCCTCGGTTTTTTGTCGCAAGCCCGCTGTTGTGCTCATCGGCACGTTGGTGCTCGACGGCGTATGCATGCCACGGCCAAGCCCTATTGTTTGTCAATGGCCACATGAGACCGACTGCACAAGGAAAACATATGCAACAAGTCGAAGGATGAGTCCTTGGGCGACAGATTGACAGTCCCAGCCTGCTTGTCGGAGCAGAGCCGCCGACGCCAAAGCTTGGCCGTTCTTACTGCAGGTGATTGGCGATGTGTTGTGGCCGACGTTGCCAGGCCTTCGCGTTGTGTTCCCCGGGTGGCCCGAGCGGCCTTCTGCCGCGCTGTCACCTGCGGACAGAGCGAAGTAGAGCGCGGTTTCCCCGACGGAGGGGTCTTTGCCCTTCGCACGCGCCCTTAGCATGCGGGTGGTCTTGGCATCCAACTTGGACTTGGGCAACCTGCAGGCGGGCGTGCATATCTTCGTCAAGTGACTAGCGCACCTTGGGGGCTTCGGGCGTCCTGCGGCTTGGGCAGCGCCGCGGAAGGCCCGACTGCCGTCGGGCGCGCAGTGCTTTTTCTACATGGCCCTCCACTTCGGCTCGGGTCTCTGCCTCCGCCCTCTGCCTCCGCCGCTGCCCTGCTTCGCCTCCCTGTCCCCTTGGCCACCCCCGCCTCCGCCCTGCTTCGTCTCCCTGTCCTGGGGCGCGCGCACGGCCCACTGCCTCTTGTGCCGCCCCTGCAGAACAAGGGTGCGCCCCTGGCGCGCCCGCGTGAAAGCCGACGCCCCTCTCTTGCGCGTGCCAGTGCGGCACGTGTCTGGCTCGACCACGTCATCGTCGGTTGTCGTGGAATCTTCCCGATGCACTTGCGAGTGTGCCATCGCGTTCTTGTGCGGGTTGAAGAACTGGGACGCCCTCGTGGGGGACGCAGTCAACGCAGGAGTCTCGGGGGGTCAAGCGCGCATGCCGCCCGCGAGCACATGGCGTACTTCATATCCCAGCGAGCGGGGTGAACGCCGCGTCTGGCCTGTCCACGCGAGGCGTGGCCTTGCGGCCATTGCGCGTCAGCGACAGCCGCCCCCTGACTCCGCCATCGGTCTTCTACAGGACCTGCAGATAAGCTCGGGCTCATCATCGGGTTGTTGAAGGACGCCCGCGTCCTCGAGATACCTCTTGGCCCGCGCCTGGTTCAGTAACACGATGAACTCGTAGGCGGGCTGCTCCAATCTGGCGATGCCCACGACGTCGAAATCGGCGTTTGCTGGCTTCTGCTCCGCTGTCAGACAACCCGTCATTTCCCTTGCACGCCTTGTTCTCTAGTGATTTGATGCCATGCGTGGCGACTGGCGTTGCTGCCGCCGCAGCTGGCCGCCTGCGCTGCAGCTTGGCTTTTGAGACAAGCCTAGGTGTTGGCCCAGGGCGGAAGCGGCTCGACGGCCAGGGTGGTCAACCAGAATGCGTAAGGCTCGAGCCTAAACAGCAGACGCGGCAGCGGCACGAGCGAGCGATGGCGACGACAGCGGTGATTTAAGCACACGCGTGCGGCACGGTACGTCCAGAACACGACGGGCATTACTTCATTGAAGGAAAACGAGCCGCGCCCCCGCGGGACAGGGCGCAGCTGATGATCTATCGCTTATCCAATCCGAAGAGCCCTTCTAGAACTATGACTGCGGAGGAGTAAGGATACGCGTGTGCACACACACGTGCGTCACATAATGTGCCTCCCCGCTATCACGCATTCAGCCCTGGTGATCCATGACGTCCGGCTCGTTGTTGCCATCTTCAAACCGAAACAAGAGCGGGCAGATCGTCGCCATCGTCGGGGTTGGCGCTGTCGTCGTCCTCCAATCCCGAGGGGAGCTCGGACAGATCGTCGCCATCGCTGGGGGCGGCGGTGCTCTCGTCACCGGACCCGCATTCGTAGACTGAATCCGGTTTTTCATCGTTCTCCGCTTCTTTTCGGTCGTCCATAAAGAAGTAATCGATGACCTCTTCTGTGGACACGGTCCCCGACTCCCACGGCACGGCGTCCCACAAGGAAATCGGCTCGTCAGGCACGTGTTGTTTTGATTATTCCAACATTGCGCTACCTGGCATGATCACGTCCATGT